CTCTTAAGCATGGCAAAACATCTGAACCACTTATCAAACCNCCCGTATCTGCATGAACGTTCCACCCCCCCACTGCTATTCCAAACAACGCGTTTTTCTGGACCATTCCAATTCGCCTCGTAATTGTAGGGGTGCGACTGCAATACACATTCGTGCATCAACACGGGCATGCCCGCAGACGGTGTATAAAATTGCGTGCCGATTACACAAAGAGAACCCAGTGTTTTGACTGCGAACATGAAAAATCAGCCGATCACAACACTCCGTCCGGAGGTCCTGACCTCCTTCACGGAGTAAAAAAAGATCACCTCCACGGAGGCTCTGGCCTGGCTCTAGGCCTGGGTAGTCCATGGTAGTCAGCGACAAAACGGAGCCGAGCACCCAGGTCCCAGGCTATCGAATTCGAAGCTCCACGACTCAAGAACTCAGTACATAAGTACAGTACCGATTCATAAATGCCGCAAAAAGCCAGCATGTGCCGGCTTGTCGTATACGTCACTAAGTACTGTAGCGAATCCACAATACCAGCTTTGTATTCCTGTGGTTTAGTAGCATTTTTATTTTTGGCCGGAATTTTTTTTTATTCGCCCGCGCGCACTAATTTGGGGGTCTTCAGAGGATGTCATCCATAAAATTAAATCGGTGTGGCCTAATGATGTATTAATTATATGTACTCAGGATATGCCATACTTTGTACCCTGCACAACTGTTGTGCAATTAAGTTATCTACTTTAACGAACCATTCATCATCCCCAGGTACCGTTTTGAGGAGCAGATAACCTGTGTGAGCCCGAGCGTGTTCGCCGGGCAGCAGCTGAAGGATCTCACCCCCCAGCAGATGTGGGTTATCTGCGAGGCGGCTGCCATCGTCAGCTTCCAGGCTGACAAATCCACAGTACAGCCGGGAGACACAATCTTCCTTCAGTGCAATGCGACCGGCGTACCAACTCCAGATGTCACGGTCACATTACCGTCTGGCGCAGCCATCAGTGTGGTGCCGGGAGGGGGTGACGGGGGCAGGGTGACTGTGGGGGGTGACAGGACAGTAGCTGTGCGTAACGCGACCGTGTGGGATGCAGGGGTGTACGTCTGTAGTGCCGTCAACATGCTGGGTAGAGCGGCCAGTAGTCTGTCTGTGGATGTCAGCTCCACTGCTATAACCTACAGTATTGTACAGACCACAGCTTACAGCACAGCCACACTGACTGCTGTAACTCACAACACCTTTACCAGTGCCCCTACACACTTTACAATTGCCCCTATACACTTTACCAGTGTTCCAGTACACTTAACCATTGCCAGTGTCCCTACACACACAACCAGTGTCCCTACACACATAACCAGTGCCCCTACACACTTCACCAGTGCCCCTACACACTCTACCAGTGCCCCTACACCCTTTTCTAGTGCCCCTACACCCTTTTCTAGTGCCCCTACACACATAACCAGTGCCCCTGCACACTTTTCTAGTGCCCCTACACACTTTTCTAGTGCCCCTACACACTTTTCTAGTGCCCCTACACACTTTTCTAGTACCCCTACACACTTTTCTAGTGCCCCTACACACTCTACCAGTGCCCCTACACCCTTTTCTAGTGCCCCTACACACTTTTCTAGTGCCCCTACACACTTTTCTAGTGCCCCTACACACTTTTCTAGTGCCCCTACACACTTTTCCAGTGCCCCTACACACTTTTCCAGTGCCCCTACACACTTTTCCAGTGCCCCTACACACTCTAGCAGCCCTCCTATGCACTTACCCACCTATACCAGCATCAGGACTGAACCATCAGTGACCAGTCTGGTGCAGACTGCTGCCATCTCCAGTGTACACACACCTACCCTCACAACTACACTTTATCCAACTGCCACTCAGTCCCATCTCACAACTCTGTACCCCAGTTACCCATTAGAAGAGCCTACTCCAATCCCCACCTCCCCCCTCTCTAGCAACACTGGTTCCCCCCTTTCCAGCTCCCCTCCAGCCTCATTCACTGTTGAGCCTTCCCCTTCAGTTTCCCACCCACCAGCCACCAGTAATGATCTGTCCCCTGCCTTCACCACTGTTCGTTTCTGCTCTTCCGATTGTCCACATGGCCATGCAAGTTTACACCCACCCCACACCAGTAATGGTCTCTCCCCTGTCAACTCTGAGCATGACCACCCCTCCCCCACCATTACCGATCTGTCCCCTCCAACTTCCCTACAGGCTGTCTTCAGCTCTACCCCACATGCCAGCACTACTGAACTGTCCCCTCCTGGATCTCTGCAGGTTGATGGGATCGCCATCCCCACCCCCACCACCACTGGCCCTCCCCCGGTGACCCCTGACCTGACAGCCTGGTACCCCCTGTCCTCCCTACTAGGTGCCATATTTGGTACATTCCTGCTGACCCTTTTTGTCTGTTCTCTCCTGTTCCTCCTCTGGTACAAAACGTCCAACAAGGTCACTCCGAAACACGATACTGCCAGCTTCGAGCTCAGCGACACAAGTGACCAA